GGCCTACCAGGCACCCCACGAGTGGCACAACACGCTGCGTGCTACGTTAGCTGACCTGCAGTTCTTCCCGTCCTCTGCAGACCCTTCGCTCTTCGTTCGTTCTGGCCAGACCCCGTTCTACATCATTGTCTACGTAGACGACCTGGTCTTTGCTACTGCAGACAGAGACGCTTTGACCTCCGTGAAGGCTAAACTGCTGAGGAGACATACCTGCACAGACCTAGGAGAGCAGTGATGCTACCTTGGCCTACAGATCTCCAGGGACAAAGCAACGCGCACCATCAATCTCACACAGTCACACTTGATGCGCCAGGTCCTTCAGAGGTTCTGTCTTCAGTTCTCCTCTGCACAGCCCACACCTTTGCCAGTAGATCACAGGCTCTCTGCTCTAGTCCCTAAGGAGTCAATAGAGCCTCGTGGTTCGTACGCATAGCTTGTGGGTTGCCTCATGTACCTGATGACTTGCACTCGTCCAGATCTGGCATACCCTCTAAGCATCCTTGCTCGCTTTGTGGCCACAGTCAAACACCGACCACAACACTGGTCGAGCGCTAAGAGGGTTTTCCGTTGTCTAGCAAGTACATCAGGCATGGGGCTAGTGCTTGGAGGAATGTGAGAGTACGACACCGTTACACCAATTTCCCCTTTCCATATTTCCTTTCTATTTCATTCCTCTTTTTCTTCTGATTCATTTGGTCTTTATCACATCTCATTTGGTTTCCTATTCCTCATTTTCTATTATCCTTTGGTTTATCCTGTTATTATGATTATATCACCGACCAGGCTCAGGATGTACTGGCGCGCTATATCTAGCGTAATCCTAACGTAATAGCCTTGCGTGGCTATACGCAGAGTGATTCTATTTCTAGAAGGGTCTATTCCTTTTCGATAGGATTAACTTGGTTACCTGATGTACTATGGAAGTATAAAAGCACCTTGTACTGATTGATAGTGGAACATTGAGCAAACCTCATTCGGTCCTGTGACAAGGACGCTGGCTAGTGGTCCTTACAGAGCACATAGACGCTTCGTGGGCAGACGACGCCGAGACTCTCAGGTCCTCCCATGGCTACTGCTTTAGCCTTGGTGTAGCTGCCATCTCTTGGATGTCCACCCGCTCGTCGTCTATTGCACAATCTAACTGTGAGGCTGAGATCTACGCCAGTGCCATGGCGGCACAGGAGCTCCGCTGGCTGACTTTCTTGCTCACAGATTTAGGTGAGAGGCCTAGCTCTGCCCTGGTCCTGTATGCTAACAACAGGGCCATGATCCTCCTGTGTCAGGAGCCTCGACTAGAGGGCAGAGCGAAGCACATCCAGCTGCGGGACTTCCTCCTGCGTGAGCTTTAGCAGCACCGCCAGGCCCGCGTAGTACACTTGGCATCCGGTGCCAACACAGCTGATATCTTTACTAAGGCGCTTGCGCCTAAAGATCATCTGTATACCGCTTGGTCTAGTTCCTGTAGCTTCTCACTTGCTAGAACCCTGATTGTGTACTTCTTCTTATATTGTCTTGACTGGCCTTGTGGCTCTTGTACCAATGGATGGACTAGTAGTGCCGCCCTGGGTTACTCTTGCTTAGTTTGTACTCTTGCTGACTGGTCTTCGGACCCTTGCCTCGGAGGTTGGACTAGTAGTGCCACCCTGAGCTGCATGTCTCTTGCCAGGCATTGCTCCTCATCTAGCCTAGGGGGTGTGTACACTTAGAGATTACAACCCCTCATCACAAAACCACCCTGTATCTTTCATTCTAGTCCAATTCGTTACTCTGAGATGTTTCGGGGAAAAAACGTCAAAAACCTGATGCTGTCAAGGTGTTTTTCTACACCTTTATTTTCCTCGTCAACTTTTTCTTTGGGAGGGAGCATCGAGAGAGACAGGCAAGGAATAGTGACAGCGAGAGAAACTAGTAACTTTTTCGCGCACAAGAGCTGCTAGGTGGCATGGTATGGTTTCCAGGCAGGTAACTTTTTGCCAAAGAAGATTGTAATCATTTCATGCACACGTCAGATCAGCTTTTTGGTGCATGCTACTCAAGCATGCTTGCTCGCGCTGCCATAATTTTGTGCCGACAGGGCGTGGGAGAATGAGGAAGAATGTATTTGTTCAAGGAGGACTTTCAAGCTTGGGAAAGGTGGGGAGGGGGGGGGGGGGGGGGGGGGGGGGGGGTATAAGTCTCTTCTATTTAAGTCGGAAAAGTTGTGAGGACTTCGGCGAAATTTTCTGAGTTGCAGGGTGCGTAGGAGGAATGTATCTGACTTATATATATATATATATATATATATATTTTTTGTGTAGGTTTGGTAGGTGTTCTACAGATTGTATCCTACAATAGAGAGGACAGCCCCCCTTATTGTATCTCTCTCTCTTCCTAGTCGACCCTCTTTTCTCTCGACATTTTCTCTCCTACCTAGCCTAAACCCTTCCTTAGCTCTTCGAACATGATATCAGAACACGCTGATCTTGCTGAGCCTCCTCATCATGCTTCCGCAACGTACTCTCTCCCCTCCCGTCACTTTCGCGCTGCCGTGATGGCCATGTCGTGCTGCCATGGTGGCCTCGACGCGCTGCCGTGGCGTCGACGCCACGCCATGGCGGCTTCGTCGTGCTGCCGTGGCTACTTTGTCGCGCCAGCGCACGGACGTTTGCGGCCAGCGCACCATTTTAGGCGCCAGCCATGACGTGCGCACGCCAGCCAGTGCGCCTGCCATGGATGCCTTGCTGAAGCACGCCCCTCCCGTGCGTCTCCCCTTATTCCAGCTGCAGCTGATGACTCAAAACCTGGTCGTCGCCGGGCCGTGCTTCGCAGTCGCCGCCGCCGTCGTCGAAGCCGCCGCCACCACCGCCGCTGTCGTTGTCGTAGAAGCCGCCGCTGACGCCGTTGCTGCCACCCGCCGCCAATGTTGCCGCTTTGCACGAGGGGTAGAAGCCAAACCTGGTGCAGGACATGGGGGTGCAAGGGCTTGGGGGTGTTGCGTGTGGGATGGGCTTGCGACTACCAAGAAGGGGGTGTGTCAAATTATATTTTATATATATCTATATATATATATATTATTTTTTTTGCAGGCTTAGTAGGTGTTCTACCGATTGTGAATCCTACAGTAGAGAGGACAACCCCCCTTTTTGTATCTCTCTCTCTCTCTTCCTAGTCGACCCTCTTTTCTCTTGACATTTTCTCTCCTACCTAGCCTAAACCCTTAGCTCTTCGAACAGACTTCGCCAAATTTTTTAGACCTCGTGGTTTGCGGGATGCGCATGAGGAATGCCCCTGGCTGGGGAGGACTTAACCAAAAATCTGGGCTGTGGGCTTAGGGATTTCCCGGTGGGCAGGGCTGCCTGGATGATTATCCCGCGTCGAATATTCGCTAGTTGTAGAATCCCGAGGGCTCAGAGTTTTTTGTTCCAGGGCGTTTTTCGACGCACCCTGATCGGTCAGGGTAAAACGACGAGCACCCTTAATACAGCAGGGTAAAACCCTTCGCTACACTTTTGAGAAAGGGTAAGAAAACAAATTCCCTTACAAAATCAGGGGAAACAATAAAAAAGGCAGCCGCTGGTAAGCGTAATCAGCGTAAAACACCCTTAAAAAATGGGCCCTGGTCCTGCTCCAGCTCCTCGTGGGTGGCTATGTTCATGGCGGTAGCATGAAGGCACACAAATGCATTGTTTGCTTGCTTTACTTTCATAATATAGAAGTCTATACCAAATGAAAGCATGCATAGAATATGGATTTACGATAGATACAATGCCTGATAAGGGTAAAACGCAAATTCTTGGTGGTTTATGCATGCCAAGATTCTTAATGAATGATGTACCTACTAATAGCCTGAAGACTTTCACTTTGATGAAGTGTACGATTTTTAGTATTCATAACTGTGAGTGTAAGGAATTTCCATTCCTTACTGAGTCGTACTCTAGCGCGTACACCCGAACTCCTCGACTCGTCACGTTCGGCCTCGTTTATTGGCCCAACCATTTCCCGAGTCGCGTCCGGCACTGCCGAACCTACCCACGTTCCGAGGTTATCGCCCTAGAACGCCAACCCCTGTATAACCTCGTGCCTTTATTGCAATATCGACCTTGTATTTTCACGTTATAGTTCATTGACACTTCCTATATCATAACAGCTGGTATCAGAGCCGAAGCTTTCCAGGAACCTTCCGCTTTCCCGTTTAATTAGTTAAGGGTGGTCAAAGGGGATTAGCACTGTTGCACAGCAGTTGCCTTGGATCGTACTATTTTTACGTCAACAACTACAGCGTGTGCGCTAGCTTCTGCCCCGTCCCGACCGCCATGACCCCGGTAGATTCGACGGTTGAGGAATAGTCCACCTCGACTGCTGCAAACCCTGCCCGGGAAACTGTGGACCTGCTAGCATTAATGGAGCAGTTGAATAATCTGACAAGCGTCGTCAATAACCTCTGCGACGAGAACCAACGACTTCGCCAGGCGCAGGAGAGGCGTTCAGAGGAGCTGGGCGACGATGCACGAAGCGAGGCGGGTGAGCAGCAACCGTCGCCAGTGGAGCTGGCACGACTAGCGGCAACAGTGCCGCGCTCGACAAGTGGCGGCATGAGATATCAGCTACCCGCTCCTTTCGACCCAGCTAATAAAGGTGTGACGGTGCGGCAGTGGATATTCGCCATGAATATCTATTTTAACGCAGCGGGCATCCGAGACAATCAGAAGCGGATCAGCCACGCGTTAACACTGTTGCAAGGGGCCGCCCTACAGTGGTAGAAGGTCATCATCGACTCAGCGGCTACTCGCACGGAAGGACAGCACGAGTGGTCCGAAGAATTCGGCGACGGAGACGAGGCAGATTTGTTGTTCGGTGCGACCCAGATTCGCACATGGGCAACGTGGTGCGCAGAGCTTCGCAAATGGTTTGAGCATGCTCCTGACTCAGACAAAGCGCGCGAGACTCTACGCATGTGGAAGCAGGTGGGATCTGTGTCCGAGTACACCGCGTCATTCTTGACGTTGGTGGACAGATGTGGTTACATGCACGAGGTGGAGAAGGTCGACAGGTACATGGGCGGGCTGAAGCCTGAAATACAGTACCAGATAAAACTGCAACGCCCTGCGAAGCGGTTACAAGACTTCATCCAGCTCGCCAAAGCCGATGATTCGCTCACAAAGCCGAGGACGAACTTCTACGACGGAGGTTGCCCTCGAGAACAGTACTGGCGCGCCATGATAAAAGGGGTGGACGTAGTGGATATTTCCACAGTTGCTCCGCAAAATACGGGGCTACGCTACCACTGTGGCCGGCCGGGTCACATCCGACGCAACTGCCAAGAATTCATAGCCCTCCATAATTCTATGGGGAAGAAGCCGGAGGAGCGACTGGGAAATGGGTCGCGTCAGTAAGTACCGGGCCCCTTACTGACGGGCAGGCTTCTTCGCCCGAGCCACACAGTCCCCACCAGGTCATGATCCCGATTGCTGCAATCGACCGGACCCGGACGAATAAGGGGGACGAAACTGTTGATCACTCTGTGTTGGTGGAGGGTTAAGTCAACGGAGTGTTATTGAAGATTTTCGTTGAAGGAGGCGCGAGTCACAGTCTCATACAGTTGGACAGGGCTAAGAAATTGGGGATACCCTGACTAAAGTGTCTACCCGAAATCGACGCCCGACTAGTGGACGGAACACCGCTGGCAATACGGGAACGAGTGGAGAACGTCGGTTTTCATTGCGGGGAGCATGTAAAATTTCGGATGGGGCTGCTGGCGACTACTCTCGACAAGTGCGACGTGCTGCTGGGACGTGATTGGTTGCGACGATACAACCCGAAGATCGACTGGACGACGGGCGGCTGCAGCATAAAGCTCGATGGGATCTCCTGCAAGTTACCGAAATGGACGGGGCCTCACATGCGAAGCACCCAAGTCCATGCAATAACTTTCAAGCGCGCAATAAAAGTGGGAGCTGCAGCGTGCGCCGTTGATCTTTGCGAGGTGACGTCGACGACAACAGCCGAAGATATCGCGAAGCTATGCGAAGCCATTCTTCCGGATTTAGCGGACCTGATTCGAAAATACCCCGAGATTTTCCCGGACGACCTACCCGCTGGACTTCCGCCGAGCTGACCAGAAGACCATTGCATCGAGCTGGAACCAGGCACCCAACCGACGGTACAGCGACAATTTCGGCTCAGCCAACCAGAACTGGAAGAATTGCAGCAGCAGCTGGATTACCTTCTGACGAAGGGATTTATCCGGCCCAGCACGTCCCCGTACGCCGCCCCGATACTGTTCACGCCGAAGAAGGATGGAGGGTTCGGAATGTGCATCGACTGCCGCGCGCTCAACAGGATCACCATCAAGTCACGTTACCCGATCCCGCGGGCCGACGAACTTCTCGACCAACATCGCGGAGCCAAGTTCTTCTCAAAAGAATTACTTGCGAGAAGGTTACCATCAAATTCGCGTCGCCACCGAGGATTGTCACAAGACGGCATTTCGAACCCGCTATGGCAGCTATGAATACCTGGTGATGCCTTTTGGTCTCACGAACGCGCCCTCGACCTTCCAGATGACCACGAACGAAATTTTCAGGGAACTCCTGGACAAATGCGTCATTATCTACCTCGACAATATCCTCATCTACAGCTGCAGCAGGGAGCAGCACTTATGGGATCTTGATGCAGTCTTCACGCTGCTGCACAAGAATTGCCTCATCATGAAAGGGTCTAAGTGCGACTTTCTTAAGCAAGAGTCGGAGTTTTTGGGCCACATCGTCTCTACCGAAGGAGTGAAATCGACCCCAGGAAAATCAAGACCATCCAGGAATGGAAGCCGCTAAGCAACATCAAGGAGCTGCTGAGTTTTTTGGGTTTCATCAACTTCTTTCGCTCTGCTATTCATCAACAGCGTACCACCGCCACCAGACACTATTTTAATCAGCGCGACACTTCCCGCATCTGGGTCCCCGGCTACGATTATTTGTACCCTTCTAATCCATGAAGCCCTCGACAACCATACCTCGGGACATTTCGGAGTCAACAAAACCATGAAGACGTTGCAGCGGAATTATTAGTGGCCGAACATGGCTGACGACGTTCGCAAGTACGTGTCCTCCTGCACCGCCTGCCAGATTATGAAATCATCCCATCAGCGAGCAGCTGGACTACTACAGCCGTTGGATCTGTCTGAGCGACCCTGGCAACACATCACGATGGACTACGTGACAGGATTGCCGGCCGGTCCCAGCGGAAACGACGCCATCCTCTTGGTCGTTGACCGACTTACGAAAATGGTGCACTTCATCGCCTGCCACCAGACAATTACAGCTAAGCAAACTGCCCAACTGTTCATCGCCAACGTCATTCGACTGCACGGACTGCCTACCGCAATTATTTCAGACCGAGACGCAAAATTCACATCGAATTTCTGGCGCCACCTGTGGGACCAATTCGGCACCAAACTATAGTTTTCCTCCGCCTACCACCCACAAACTGACGGGCAGACCGAACGAGTCAACCAAACAATGGAGCAACTCATTCGGACCACCTGCACTGACCCACAGACATGGGAGAAATCCCTTCCGATGCTAGAATTCGCGTATAATAACGTGCCCTCCGCCACAACCCATCAATCCCCATTTTTCCTAAATTATGGACAGGACCCAGTGGTACCCTCTACCCCTAACATTGAGACACCCGTGCCCCGGTCCCATAAATTTGCCGAAGACATCCTCGCAGCCCGAGAAAAAACAGCTGAGGCCATCAAGAAAGCCAACCTGATCGCCAGCCGACAAACCGATCGTCATCGACGTGACGTCACTTACAAAGTGGGAGATCTCGTACTGCTCGACACTCGCAATTTGCGTCTGCCAATCCCGAGCAAGCTCCGCCCCAGATTCTGTGGGCCTTTTCAAGTGACCAATATGATGACACCCGTCACTGCTCACCTCTGACTCCCGGCTAACTGGCGTCACCACCCGGCTTTCCACGTTAGCCTTCTACTGCCCTACGTCCCCAGTTCATCACAGGTGGCCCGCCACCGCAGTGTACCGCAGCTGACGCCCCTGCAGGAACCGACGACCGAGCCCTTGAAAAATCTCGGCCATCGAGTCACGACGCAGCTGAACCGTCGGATGGTGGATTTCCTCGTCCACTGGCGCGATCGCACGTCCGAAGATGACAGCTGGGTGCCCCTCGCTGAGCTAGAATCACACCCGATTCTAACAGCGTATTATCAGCGTCGGAATGTTTCCGATGCCCGCGGTCTCGTTTAGGAGGGGGGGTAGTGTAAGGAATTTCCATTCATTACTGAGTCGTACGCTAGCGCGTACACCAGTGCTGATCTTTGGTTTTTCACTACTCTGATTTTTACGAGTGAAATCTGTGCCACTCTGATTTTCAAGGTTACCTGGAGCACTAACCCTGGTTTTTCAGGGTTTTTCTCTGTTTCCTAAATAATAACTCTGATCATAAGGGATCATTCCTAGAGACACTTTCATTAACAAAAGTGCACAGATCATGCCCACTTTTGCACAAGCAGCCACCACAGTCACATCGCTCATGGAAATGCCTTACAACGGGCGCCGGACGACCAAACCAAAGGCACTTGTATTACGCTCTAGGGGCTTTGTGCTTACATTTCCGGTTCTGGAAAATCCGGAACTAGTACAATTCGCGAAAGATTTGCCCAGAAGGACATTCACGAAGCCCTATCAAAATGTGCTGCGAACTATGTATCTAGCCCAAGTAATGGTTTTAGACGAGAACCGGAACTAAGCACCACGCCCTTAGGCGAGGCAATGAGGGTCAGGTTCAGGGTCGCATCCAGAGTCGCGGCGCAAGCGGCAAATGATGTGTACAGTCCCAAGCGGGCGGTGCGTGTGATACCGGGCTGGAATCCGAGTCAAGGATCGAGGGTCCTTGTTAGGCCCATCTGTTTTTCTTCCGCGACGAAATCTGGGTTTCACTCGCATTACGTGTGGTTCTCCTCGTGCCCGCATGCACATCAAGGCACCTGCGGTGATGTGTCTCGTCATCACCAAGGGTTCAGCAAAGCACGCCGATTCTAGTTTGCTGGGCTGTGGAGGAGTGCGCAAAACTTTTGGGTTGCAGGAGGTTCTTGGGGGAATTAGCTACAGGAAGTAATGTCTCTGGCTGTGGGGGACTTAGCTGAATTTTTAGGATACGGGAGGGTGCTTGGGAGAAATGTTTTTGGCTGTGAGGGACTTAGCCGAATGGGTTGCAGGGGGTGCTTGGTAGGAAAGTCTCTGGTTGTGGATGTTAAATTATATATTGAGTTATATAATTATTAGGCTTGGTAGGTTACCGAACTTTACTGTAGAGGGTACAATCCCCTCCTTGTATGCCTCTCTCTTTCTATTCCATCTCTCTTTTCTCTCCTCAACTTTTCTCCTTCCTAAACCTCATGCCTTTCCTAGCTTCCTAGCCATTCTTGCATTCCAACATGCTATCAGAGTAGGAGGTCCTCCCTGCTGGACCGCCTCCTCACGCTTCCGCCGCGTACTCCTCACCCTCGTTCGCTCGCGCGGCCATGGCGGCCACGTTTTGCTGCAGTGGCGGCGTCGTAATGCCGCTGGCCGCGTCGTGCCGCGGCCGTCTCGAAGCGCTGCCGTGGTGTTGGCCCGTCGTGCTGCCGTTGCAGCGTCGACGTCCCGCCGCGGCATCGACGCCGCTCTGTGACGGCGTCGTCGGGCTGCAGCCGGCCGCGCGACGCCTGTGGCGCCGCTAGACCGGCCGCCCGCATGCCAGCCTGTTGCGCCCCGCCTCCCTCTCCTTCCCCTGTGTCCTCTTCCTTTCCGCAGACGACGGCTGACTCCCGCCGGCCGTCCCACCGTCGCGGGGCCTGGCCACGTCACCGAGAGGTGCGGGCGCCGCCGCCGCCGCCGCCGCTGTTGTCGAAGCCGCCGCCGTCGCCGCTGTTGCCGCTTGCGTCGGGGCCACGCAGCCGCACGCCGCCGCCGCCGCCGCCGCTGTCGACACTGCCGCCGCTGCCGCCGTCGCCGCCGCAGCCCCTGCAGTCGACGTCGCCGCCTCACGCGCCGAGGGGTCAACCGAGCTAGTGTCGCTTTCACTGTGGCTGGAATGGGGGTGCTAGGTTAGGAGGTGTGGGGGTGTGTGTGGGCTTGTGACTACCAAGCCTAGGGGGTGTGTTAAATTATATATTGAGTTATATCATTATTAGGTTTGGTAGGTTACCGAACTTTACTGTAGAGGGTGCAATCCCCTCCTTGTATGCCTCTCTCTTTCTATTCCATCTCTCTTCTCTCTCCTCAACTTTTCTCCTTCCTAAACCTCACGCCACTGTTAAAGTAAGAACTGAATGAATGACTAGAAGTGGAAACCTAGAACAAATGCTAGTTGGTTGTACTCACTAGAAGCATACCTCAGTCTAGCCTATAACTTCTACATAGCTAATATGTATAGGTTGACACAACCCCTAGGCTAGACAAGGGGTGAAGCTAAGCAAGAAGCAAACAGCTCTGGGTGGCACTACTAGTCCAACCACTGAGGTAGGGGTCTGGAGACCAGTAAGCAAGAATACAAACAAAACTAAAGCAAGCCAGGGCGGCACTAATAGTCCAGCCACTGGAGGTAAGGCCACAAGGCCAGTCTGACAGGCATATATAATACAGAGTACACAATCAGGATCCCAACAAGTGAGTAGCTACAGGAACAAGACCAAGCTGTACACAGTGCCGCTGATGATCTTTAGGCGCAAGCGCCTTAGTAAAGATATCAGCTGTGTTGGCACCTGAGGTCAAGTGAACTACGCGGGCCTGGCGACGCTGCTGTAGCTCGCGCAGGAGGAAGTACCGCAGCTGGATATGCTTCGCTCTGCCCTCAAGCCGAGGCTCCTGACACAGGAGTATCATGGCCCTGTTGTTAGCGTACAGGACTAAGGCAGAGCTAGGCCGCTCACCTAAGTCTGTGAGCAAGAAGGTCAGCCAGCGGAGCTCCTGTGCCGCCATGGCACCAGCGTAGATCTCAGCCTCATAGCTAGACTGAGCCACAGACGACGAGCGAGTGGAACTCCAAGAGATAGCACCCGAACCAAGGCTAAAACAGTAGCCCTGCGACGACCTGAGCGTCTCAGAGTCGTCTGCCCAAGAAGCGTCTGTGTGCCTAGTAAGGACCACTGGCCTGCGTCCTCCTAGCACTAACCCCATGCCCGATGTACTAGCAAGATAACGCAAAAACCTTTTAGCGGCAGACCAGTGCTGAGGTCGGTGTCTGCCTGTAGCCACAAAGCGACCTAGGATGCGGAGAGGGTATGCGAGATCTGGGCGAGTGCAAGTCATCAGGTACATGAGGCAACCCACCAGCTCTTCGTAGGGGCCACTGGGCTCTACTAGCTCCTGAGGAACGGGAGCGGAGAGCCCATGGTCTATAGGTAGAGGTGTGGGCTGTGTGGAGGAGAACTGAAGACCGAACCTCTGAAGGACCTGACGCACCAGGTGTGACCGTGTCAGAGTGATGGTGCGTGCTGCTCTGTCCCTAGAGATCTGCAGGCCAAGATAGCGACGCAGCTCTCCAAGGTCAGTGCAGGTGTGTCTCTTCAGAAGCTCGGCCTTCACAGAGGCCAGTGCATCCCTGTCAGCAGTAGCGAAGACCAGATCGTCTACGTAGACAAGGATGTAGAACAGAGTCTAGCCGGAACGCACAAACAGCGAGGGGTCAGCAGAGGACGGAAAGAACTGCAGGACTGCTAACGTGGCCCGCAGCGTGTCGTGCCACTTGCGAGGAGCCTGACGCAGGCCGTAGACCGGGCGCCTGAGAAGCCACTGGGTCCCAGGGGGGAAGGTACCAGTGAAGCCCTATGGTCGGCGCAGGTAGACCTGCTTGTGTAGGCTGCCCTAAAGAAAGGCAGTAGAGAAGTCGAGGGAGTGAAGCTCGTAGTCGCGCTGTGCTGCTACGTGTAGCAGCGCCTGAAGTGTGGTCATCTTCGGGGTCAGGGCGAAGGTCTGGAAGAAGTCAACCCCCTCTCGCTGACTGAAACCTCTGGCCACGTAGCGCGCCTTGAAGACAGGCGGCTCTCCAGGGGGGCGCTTCACCTTGAAGAGCCACCGACCATCGACTACGTTCACCCCAGGTGGGGGAACTGCGTCGACGTAAGTGCCGGTGGACCTCCAAGATGCCATCTCCTGCTCCATGGCCGCTATCCACTGAGAGGCCCAAGGTCCCGAGGTAGCCTCAGCGTAGGTGCGAGGGGTCGGGATGTCGAAGGCGTCTGGGTCACCCTCAGGGACTAACAGCATGGAGCAGAGATGGGGAGCAGCCTCGGAAAGGAAAGCAAGCTTGTACTGCCTGTCCTCTAGGACGTCACTGCCAAGGGCAGGAGCACCCCCGACGGACGGAGGACGGGCAGGGTCAGAGACCAGAGCGGTAGCGTAGTCAAGGCGGCGGGTAGAGGCGAAGTCAGTGACAGCAGCGACAAGCGCGTCAAGGCGCGAGACAGGAACAGCAGGGTCGGTAACAAGAGAGGCAAGGACCCGAGGGACAAGGGGACGAGCGGCACGTAGGTAGTCAGAGAACGGAGGAGGTGCCACAACAAGGGATGAGGGAGGAGGGGACGGGAGGAGGGGAGGACGAGACGAGCGGGAACGGAGCAACATAGGGTGGGTGGGCAGGACAGGAGAGACGGGACGAGCACGGGAGGGACGGCGAGCCCAAACATGAGACGGAGGAGTAGGGTCAGGGGACAGCGGAGGGGACACAGGAGGGGAACGAGGAAGAAGACGGGCCGCAGACGAGTCCGGCGGCGGGAACACAGGACCGTAGACAGGAAGGTCAGCAGGCGGTGGGGGAGACACCGGCGCGCGGTCCGGGGAGGGAAGGCCGAGCAGGCGGAGAGCGGAGACCGGCGGCGACGGCTGCTGCGACAGCTGGGCCGGAACCCTCGGACCGGCAGAGGCAGGACGACCGTCGGCAGAATCCTCAACAGCAGCACCCCCAGAACCAACACCCCCATAGCAAGAACCCTCTCCAACTCCAGCGGCACCCTCGGGAGCCGCAGGACGAACACCCTCCTCAACGCCAGCACCCCCAGAGGCCAACGGCGGCGACGGCGGCGACGGCGGCTGCGGCGGTGGCGGTGACTGCGACTGCGGCGGCAGCGGCGGCGACAGCGACTACGGCAGGGAAGGCGGAGACACCGGGGAAGGGGGACACGGCAGGGACGGGCCGGGGGGACTACCAGAGTCAGCAGACTCCTCAACGGGGACAACCGACGGGAGGGGAGTGACGTGAGTGACACCAGACGGGGCAGGACGAGGCGGGAGAGGAGCAGGGGCTACCGGGGGAGAGGGAGCCAGGAACAGGGGCGGGGCAACTGGGAGACCTCGGTGAGGCGGGGCCAGGCGCGGCGGGGCCAGGCAGGCGCGGCGGGGCCAGGCAGGCGCGGCGGGGCCAGGCAGGCGCGGCAGGGCCAGGCAGGCACGGAGGGGTCAGGCAGGCGCGACGGGGCCAGGCAGGGCGCGATGGGGCCAGGCGGGCGCGACGGGGCCAGGCAGGGCGCGACGGGGCCTAGCGGGCACGACGGGGCCAGGCAAGGCGCGACGGGGCTAAGAGGCACAACGGGGCCCAGGAGGGACGCGACAGGGCTTGGAGGCGCGACGGGGCCCAGGAGGGGCGCGACGGGGCCTAGGAGGCGTGACGGGGCCCAGAAGGGACGCGACGGGGCTAGGAGGCGCGACGGGGCCGAGGAGGGGCGCGACGGGGCCCAGGAGGGGCGCGACGGGGCTAGGAGGCGCGACGGGGCCCAGGAGGGGCGCGACTGGGCTAGGAGGCGCGACGAGGCCCAGGAGGGGCGCGACGGGGCCAGGAGGTGCGACGGGGCCCAGGAGGGGCGCGACGGGGCTAGGAGGCGCGACGGGGCCCCAGGGGGGGGGGGGCGCGGCGGGGCCTAGCTAGGGTACGAGCGGAAGCGGTAGGTGGGGGATTCTAACCTACGCGTGATACCATGTTAAAGTAAGAACTGAATGAATGACTAGAAGTGGAAACCTAGAACAAATACTAGTTGGTTGTACTCACTAGAAGCATACCTCAGTCTAGCTTATAACTTCTACATAGCTAATATGTATAAGTTGACAGCCACTTCATGGCTCCTCCTAGCTAAACCTCATGCCTTTCCTAGCTTCCTAGCCATTCTTGCATTCTAACAGTGGAGACTTAGCCGAAATTCCTAGGTTCGGCCAGGGGACTAGTAGGCATTTTTGTCACTGTCTGACGGATTTCATCTGTCGTGAAGGAGTACAGTACAGCAATAATCTGGGGGTATACCCTCTATTGAAAATCCCGCTGGGTAGTACATAGGCCAACTCTGATAAACCAGAGAAAACTTATAATTTCAAAATTTTACCCGGAGGCGAAAGGGTGGTACGCAAAATCAACTCTGGTTTTCAGAGAATCAGAGTAATTTACTCGTGAAAAATAGGCACTGGCGTACACCCGAACTCCTCGACTCGTCATGTTCGGCCTCGTTTATCGGCCCAACCATTTCCCGAGTCGCGTCCGGCATTGTCGCCACATTGCCGAACCTACCCACGTTCCGAGGTTATCGCCCTAGAACGCCAACCCCTATATAACCTCGTGCCTTCATTGCAATAGCGACCTTGTATTTTCACGTTATAGTTCATTTACACTTCCTATATCATAACAGTGAGGGTGAATCAGGTTACATCGCCGTGATAGGCGCCTCATTTGAAGCCACCTGAGAGTGGCGGAGATTCCCAAGGTGCCGTCCCTCCCACCAAAGCTTTCCCTCCCACCTCGAGCTCCCCGCGCAGCACCAGCTGCGTGCTTCGCCCCTGCCTGATGATGGCACTGTCACAGAGGACTTGGCTTTCAACTCGCTCCTCACTGCCGCTTTTGTTGACTTGACCGAGCCAGAACAGTAGTCACGTGACGACATGTACGGAGGTTAGGACATTGCAGGGAAGCAACGCAACGTTCTCAGCCGTTCCGCGCTCTTCTTACTGCCAGCGGCCTTATATTACTGCTTTCTCTTTCGCCAGCTTGTCTCCGTCACCAGGGAGAGAACGACTCGTTCTTGAGCCCCGGCCAGTCCCACCCGCTCCCTGCACTTGGCATTCTCCCCTCAGATCTCGCCGCTTGCATCCTGGCGTCGCCGCTAGTCTCAGCGCCAGGCTCGGCGCGCTGCGATGGACGCCGTTTACGGCTTGCTGTCCGGCAGCTGGCTGCTCGGCGCGCCCAAGGTGCCGGAAAAGGCGGAGCCAGTTGATGACGTGGACAAGGAAGCGCCTAAAGAATGGACGACCAAGTACCCGTTCAGGTGCAGGCGCTGCCGCTAGTCGCTGTAGAAAGGGCTCCTTGGGACGCGTGCTGCGTTGGTCCGTGCTGGCATGCGCGTCCCCTCCAATGGGTCTTTTCAGTCGCTCCACTCATCGCGCGTGCTTCAGCCACGTCGCGCGCAGCCGGCACTCCGCGTCCGCCAGGATTTTCCCGGCATCTCACGTGTCGAAAGCGACCCCCCTCCCCTCTTCCCCCTCTCCCTTTCCCCCCTCTGCGTTACGCTGCTCTAATCCCCGCATTTCCTTTCCGCGCGCCTGCCTTCCCCATCCCCCCGTCCGCTTTGTCTTCCGCGCGCCCCCTTCCCCCGCAGGAGCGACGATCCGACGGAGCAGCGGCTGAAGCAGCTGCTGGACGCGTACGAGGAGTCGAGCCGACAGGTGAGGCGTCGAGCCGAGTGGTGAGGCGTCGAGCAGCCAGGTGAGGGTTGGGGCGGAGAGGCGAGGCGAGCAGAGAGGTGATCCAACCATGGCGTTAAAGAGTTTCGATCTCTACCATGGATGGAGATGATGTCATGAAAACGACCCGTGAGAGGAGATTGCGTTGACGAGTCCATTGCCTCCCAGCAGTAGCGCCATTGCACTGCTCCACCGCCTCCCCTCCCCCCGTCCTCCCCTCTCACGTGTGCAGGGCGCGTCAGCGGCGTCGAACGCGACGCTGCTGGTGTTCCTGTCGGCGCTGGTGGAGGCGTACGCTGACTGGTTCCCCCCGGACCCCAGCGCGGACGCCGATGACGCCGACGACGACGCGCAAGGGGGCGAGGGCGGCGAGGGCGAGGGGGAGGCGGCGGGGGAGCGCCTGGGGCATCCGCTGGAGGTGGTGCGGTGTGTGGCTCGCCAGCTGGCAGAGTTTGCACGCGTGGCGAATTGTGAGTGGCTGGGGGGGCCATGCTGAGGTGACCATTAAGTGGCAGTGCAACCACCTACCTGGTTCTAGTGGTCAGTGCTGTTCTGTTGATGTACTTCTGCAAATCCGTTGCAATGCCGGTATACTTATTTGTCGCAGAGTTGCTCATCCCTGCAGTCCCACTCTGCTGTCTCTCTCCCTCCTATCAGCACGAGGGCCATCCACGTCTGCAGAGGAGCAGGCAGCCAATCAGGATGCGCCAGCTGGCAGCGCACCAGAGGGTGTGAGCCGGGGCAGCTCGTCTCTGGGCAGCACGTCGCTCTGGATCGCGTCGTTGGCTCTGGGGGGGGGGGAACGGGCGAGGGGGCGGGGCGGACAAGGGGGAGGCGGAGGAGGGGCGGGCGGAGGAGGAGGCGGCGGCGTGGGATCGCACGATGCTGGCTCTGCGCGCGGCGTCCATCATCTCGCGCAGCGCGTACAACCGCAAGCTGCTCGCCTTCTTCAGAAGCGTCTCCGCCGTCATCCACATCCTCACCGGTACCACCCCCATGGCCCATGGGCCCTCCCTCCCTCCCTACCTCTCCCTCTCGTACGATCTCTCTCCACTTTTCGCCCCTGCTTCATCTTCCTCCCTCCTGTCTCTCCTGCCCTCATTCCTCGCCCCACGTCAAATCTCTCCTTCACACCCCCCCCACCAGGCATATCAGCGGACCTGCGGGTGGCAGCAGCGCCCATTATCTCCCATCCACTCGCCCCCTCGCCGCAACCCAACCCGCCTCGCCCCACACCGGGGAGGAGCAGCAGCAGCAGTGGGCGGGCGCCCGGCAGTGCGTGGGGGGCAGAGTTTGGGGTCAAGCAGACGGGGGCGGAGAGGGACGTGGATGCGGCACCACCTGCTGCTGCTGCTGGGGGCAGGGAAGGGGGGGGGGGGGCGGCAGCAGCGGCGGGGTGGTTGTCTGGGGAGCGGCGGAGTGTGCTGGTGGCGGTGCTGCTGAGCTGCGCCATGAACGCGCTCTCGCTGCTCGCCAACTTCCTCGACGCCGAGATGCACCGCATCGCAGCCCGCGACGCCTTCCCCCCCGCGCACATGCCTCCCCTCTCCTCTCTCGCACACACCCCTGCCCGCGCCTCCCCCTCCCCCCGCAGCGGCGCCCCCTCCCCCCGCCACCTGGCGTCCCCCTCTGCCCGCCTGAGGGGCAGCGGCAGGGGCAGCGGGCGGTGGCGGGGGCGGGGGCTGGGATTTGGGGAGGAGCTGGCGGGCACGGCGTGGGGGGGCAGAGCAGGGGGGAGGGGGGCAGGCGGGGACGATCCGTACGAGAGGAGGCGGGAGGTGCGCGCCATCGTGGAGGCCGTGGAGACCAAGGGGCTGGCGGCGCTGCTGGGTGAGTGCGTGCCAATGGGGTGGCTGATAGGGCTGTGCCATGGGCCGTATTGCGCATGTGTGTCATGTCCTCACAGCGTCCACCATCCGCCATCCATCCGACCACACCTCGTCCCATCCCTCCCTCCTCATCCACCACCCTCTCCTCCCCCCCAATCCCTCTTCTGTGCCTTGGTCCAGCATTGGTCCCCCCACTGCGTGAGATCCAGACAAAGCGAGCCGCCCACTGCATAGAGGCGGGCGGCACGCTGCTGCTGGCGCTGCAGGTGATGCGGTCGGTGGTGTACGCCAGTGTGTCGGCGCGCGCCTCCTTCATCGCCTCCGACGGGCTGCACCAGGCGCTCGCCCTCATCACCTGGCCAACCCACCTCCTCAACTGCCACCTGTAACCCACGCCCCTCCACTCTCACATGTGGCATGGTGGGCTAGTGGCACGGGGGGCTAGTGGCATGGGGGCTAGTGGCACGGGGGCTAGTGGCACGGGGGGCTAGTGGCATGGGGGCTAGTGGCACTGGGGGCTAGTGGCATGGGGGCTAGTGGCATGGGGGCTAGTGGCTTGGGGGGGCTAGTGGCACGGGGGCTAGTGGCACGGGGGGCTAGTGGCACTGGGGGCTAGTGGCACGGGAGGCTACTGGCACAGGGGGGCTAATGGCAAGGGGGGGCTAGTGGCACGGGGGGGCTAGTGGCACGGGGGCTAGTGGCACGGGGGCTAGTGGCACAGGGGGGCTAGTGGCACGGGGGCTAGTGGCACGGGGGCTAGTGGCATGGGGGGCTAGTGGCATGGGGGCTAGTGGCACGGGGGCTAGTGGCACGGGGGGGCTAGTGGCACAGGGGCTAGTGGCAGGGGGGGCCTAGTGGCACCGGGGGCTAGTGGCATGGGGCCTATTGGCACGGGGGCCTAGTGGCTCGGTGGCTAGTGACACGGGGGGGCTAGTGGCACGGGGGCTAGTGGCACTGGGGGGCTAGTGGCACGGGGGCTAGTGGCACAGGGGGTAGTGGCATGCGGGGGCAGCATCTGTGCTGGTGGTTCATCCTTCTTGCAAAGTCACCCGCACTTCTTTGAGCATCTTTTCACCTTGTCTCTCCAATCTTATCTCTCACCCGCATGTCTGTGTGTGTGTGTGGCAGGGAGCGCATCATGGAGCTGGAGAACGATCTGTTTGAGGAGTTCAGCATCCAGCTGCTCGCCTTCTCCGTCATCCAAGAAGCCATGTACTCCGCCCCCTGCCCTGCATCCCCTGCCCTGCACCCCCTGTCTGTGCCCTCTGCCCTGCGCCCACTGCCCTGCGCCCCCTGCCCTGCGCCCTCCATCCCTTTAGCATGCTGCCTTACCCTCCAGCACGCCTTGCACAACCTGCATGCTACTATTTTTCGTGATTCCCACTTTCCATGCTGTTGCCCGCATTCCATGCTGTTGCCCGCATTCCATGCTGTTGCCCGCATTCCATGCTGTTGCCCGCATTCCATGCTGTTGCCCGCATTCCATGCTGTTGCCCGCATTCCATGCTGTTGCCCGCATTCCATGCTGTTGCCCGCATTCCATGCTGTTGCCCGCATTCCATGCTGTTGCCCGCATTCCATGCTGTTGCCCGCATTCCATGCTGTTGCCCGCATTCCATGCTGTTGCCCGCATTCCATGCTTCCGCATCCTGTTGCCCGCATTCCATGCTGTTGCCCGCATTCCATGCTGTGCCCGCATTCCATGCTGTTGCCCGCATTCCATGCTGTTGCCCGCATTCCATGCTGTTGCCCGCATTCCATGCTGTTGCCCTCATTCCAGGCTGTTGCCCTCATTCCATGCTGTTGCCCGCATTCCATTCCTCGCCATTGTTTGCCTTTCTTTTCTCCATTCAACTCCTGCTCCGTTGTCTTCCCCCCCTCCCCCTCTCCCCCAGCTTCCTGAACGCGGCGGCGCTGGAGATGGTGCGGGACGTGCAGGGCTTCCGCTGCTTCTCTTGCTTCCTGCGCTGGGCCGCCTTCCTCTTCACCAAGTCCTCCTCTGCCCTCTCGCCTGCCCTCGTGCTGCCGCCGCAGCCCTGCCTGTTGCCCTCTCTGTCCACGTCCCTCTCTGCCCCTGGCGACGAGGTGCAGGTGGAGGTGGAGCTGCCGGCCATTGTGGCGCGCCGCGACCCCAAGGCGCTGCTCTTCGACGGCTCCGTGGGAGCCACGCCCAAACGCACCCCCACCGCCGCCGCCGCCGCTGCTGCCGCTGCTGGCCCACCCTCACCCTGCCTGCAAGTCTACGGAGCAGCAGCAACGGTGGCGGCGGCGACAAGGGCAGGGGCAGTGTGCTGGCAGCAGCAGGTGACGGCGGGTGGGCACGGGAGCGGCTGCTGGCGAGCGCGACGTTCAGGCGGCTGGCGGCGGAGCGCAACAGCACGGACGAGGCGCTCATGGCGTGGAACCCCCACGCCGCCGTCGCCTGCACCGTGCTCTGCCGCTTCCTCGCCGACAGCATGCCCTCCGCCACCATGCGCAGGGGGCATGGGTACGGACACGCCCATGGCCACGACACGGGGTGGGACGCAAACCCAGAGGAGTATCGGGAGCAAGCGGCTCGCAGTGTGGCGGGGGCGCTGCTGGCGTGTTTGAGCGGCAGGCAGTGGGCGACTGGCACGACGAGGCGGCAGCGCGCATGTTCCGATCGCTGTCCCCCGCACTGCAGCTGTTCGCCACGCACCAGCTGCGCCGCATCCTCGGGTCGCTCTCCTCCGGGGCTGACTACTTCCGCTCCATGCGTGTGTGGCACGCGCTGCTCTCGCCTGTCTTCTTCTTCTTCGGGGCCCGCCTCAGGCCGCGCCAGGTGCTGCCCTTGGCGCACCTGCTGGGCCCCAAGGCTGCCGCACTTGCTCTCCTGCCACCGATGCCTGCTGCTGCTGCAGGCGGGCAGGGCATGGCGGCAGGGGGGCAGGGTGCTGCCATGGGAGGTGGAGGCGGGGCGGCCAGTGAGGGGCAGTGGGGGCAGTCGTTTGAGTTTCAGAGAGTGAGCTCGGTTGGGGAGAGTGCAGCAGGGGCGGACCCTGGAGCAGGTGCAACAGAAGGGGGTCGGGTGCTGTTGGCAGTGGGAGCAGCAGCACGGGCCATGCCCTGGACTTGTCACTGGTGGACCCGTCTCTGGAGTACGTGGACGTGCCGGTGTCGGTGGAGGCGCAGCGGCTGCGGGGCGACATAGTGGCGCTGGTGGAGCTGGCGGTGTCCGTGGACATGGGGGATGACTGCCTCACCGAGTGCGCGCTGCTGCTCGCCGCCCTCGAGGCCTGCTGCACGGAGCCCGCCCCTGCTGCCCTCCTGGTGCACGCGCTGCTGCGCCTGCTGCAGGCGGGGGGCAGCACCATGGAGGCAGTGAGGGAGCTGGGAGCCGCCCCGCGCATCGCCGCCATCATCGACAGACAGCACGCCGCCGCTGCCTCTGCTCACCCCTCCGCCACGCCTCCTGCCTCCCCCTCACAGCTCTCCATCCCGCGCTCTATCTCCCTCTCTGACCCTTCCTACCGTGTGCCCTCTGCCCTGAGCACAAACGGCGAGGAGGAGGAGGGCAGAGGGCGTCGTGGGGTGGTGTGCGGGGGGCGGTGTTTGCTCTGCTGGAGGTGGCGCTGGGGGACTCCGATGCCGCCCTCGTGCACGCCGCTGCCGACCCCCATGTCTTCCTGCCGCTGCTGCGCCTGCTGTGGGACGCGGGCAGCAGGGAGTTCGCCCTCCGGGTGCTCATCCTCATGATGCAGGCGCCCTTCCTCGACTCGTCTGCCGGCCAGCCCCTGCTGACGTGCTTCTTCCACCTGCTCTCCCACGCCGCCTCCTCACCCAGCAGGCACCGCGCTAGCAGTGGCGGGCCCAGGGAGGAGGGAGACGGCAGAGAGATGGCGGGGTGAAGCAGCCAGGGGGGGCGGATGGGAGGGGGAGGGAGGAGAAGGAAGAGAGGAAGCGGGGTGAGAGCGGAGGGGAACTTGAAGTGGAGGTAGTTGCTGAAGCGGGAGTGAGGGTGGACACTGGGGCCGCGGAGATGGGAAGCACAGGCGAAGGTGCAGCAGAGGATGGGCGGGGTGAAGGGGGAGAGCCAGGAGAGAAGGAGGGGAGAGAGCTGATGCAGTTGGCAATGAGTCTGGAGACAAAGTTGACGAGTCGATACAGCAGAGAGGCCCGATGGAAGCACTCGAAGTGGCAGCATCAGGTTTTGCAGTGGAAGCAGCGGGAGGGGCGAGCAGGGAGGGAGAGAGGGGCTGCGTGAGGTAGTGGCAGGGCGAGCGGTTGCTCTGCTGGACGACCTGCTCTCCTCCGTGCCTGACATCGTCACTGACCCCCCCGCTGCGGTCAGTCTGCCGGCTGTGGTGTGAGTGAGGAATCCTATCTCTTACGCCTGTCCCTGCCCCTACCATGGCACCCACCAAACCTCGCCTCGCACCTTGTCCTGCTCCCCACCCTCCCTGTGTGCCTCTCCGCCAGGCATTGCAGCAGCGGTGTGTGGAGGCAGGTGCGCTGCAGCAGGTGCTGGCGGTGCTGGACGCGCGGTACGACGAGGGCGACAGCCTCACCGTCGCCCTCGCTGCCCTGCGCTGCCTCACCTGCCTGCTCGCCGCCAACCAGTCCTCCAAGGTGACCCTCCCACCTCGCGCCGCGCCGCCGCTGTGCGGTTCAAGTGTGCTTACCTCCAGCCGCTGCGCTTGTTCCCAGCGACTGATCGTAACACCCAGCACGCACCCAATGGCATCTCTCCCATGCATGTATGCATGGTGTGTGTGTATGTGCCTCCATCTGTGGGTGTCAGGCAGCCCATGGTGCGAGTGGCAGGGGCGGGGTACACGGCCCTGCAGAGGAGGATCCATGCGCTCACGGGGGGGCGGCCGTGCCAGGCGGTGCTGGACGCAGTGCTCACCATGGCCACCGACGGCGCTGATGGCGGCACCTTGCACAACCCCATGGCGCGAGCCACCATCCAGGTGCCTCCCTTTGCTCTCCAGTTGCATCACACCTCCCTTCAGCCTGCCACCCTCCCTCCCCCCCTCTGCATGTACCTCAGCTCGTCGTCTTTCACTTCTCGCTCCTCCCGTCCTTAGCCTTGCATCTTCCTTAATCTCCCGTCCCCCTGTCGCCCCACGTACCGTTGTCTCTCCGCAGAATGGCGATGCGCTCATCCTCTGGCTCTCTCTGCTGCGCACGGTATGCCCCGCCCGCCATGCACGCATGTGTCTGTGCTGCGCCAACGCAATGCTCAGGATGGGGTTCTTTATCCACACTGGGCTGTTAATGGCGCCTGCATGGCCAAGGGGAAAATGCGCACGTTCAATAGCCCACCCGCGCCTTACCTGCACTCCTATGCGTTCTCTGTTCTCTCTCTGTGCTTCCTCTTGCCTTGTCACGAAATTGTTCTCCTTTCCCTAGCAGTCTTCCCCATTTCTCCCCTTCTGTCACACCCCCATACACCATACCCACCCACACCCTTCTGCCATCCCCATACTCTGCATGGCACCCCCCAGGCGCCAGAGCGGCAGGCGTGTTGTGGGACTTCAGCAGCTGCAGGCGTTGCCTGGACGACTCCACAGCGTCGTGCGCCGAGTGCACGCGCGCCTCGCTCATGTGGCACCTGCTGCACTGGCTCTCCACACTCGACCATGACTCCCCCTCTGCCACACCCCACGACTCCGGGCTGTTCACACAAGCACTCACAGGCGCTGGCACTGGCGCATGGGACAAACAGCAGCAGGTGCAGCAGGGGGGAGGGGGAGGGCGAGGGGGCAGGGCGCAGTTGGTGGGTGCGGTGGCGCTGCTGGTGGAGACGCTGGGGCGGCACAGCATGAGCGGCAAGGAGATCACCGCCGTCTTCCACCTGCTCAGGCAGGCGCGCTCGGGCAGCCGCGCCCAGCACGCATCGCTGCTGCTGCGCACGCTGCTGGGCGCCATCAAGGACGAGGGGCCCTCGGGCTTCTTTGAACTCAACGGTATCGACTCGGTGAGCCTCACTGCCTCTGCCTGACTCTCTCAGTCCCATCAACTCACAACGCTTTTCGCTGTGCAAGGCACCATACTATGCCAATGCCAACTCCTGACTGCCCATCCGTCTCATGCTTCCCACCTTCCTCCCGTTTTTCATCACCAGGGCTTCAAGCTGCCCCCCGACCTGCACTTCCCCGGCCCCCGCGGCTACACCTTTGTGTGCTGGCTGCGCATCGAGGCCTTCCCCCACTCCCCCGCCTCGCCCTTCCCATCCTCGCCCCCGGGCAACCCCTGGGCCTTCGACGCCGATGGGCGCCTGGAGGAGGCGCGCGCGGCGGGGGCAGAGGGGGGGGCGAGAGAGGGGTGGGAGGCGAGCCGCGAGGGCGCAATGGCGCTGTTCAGCTGGCACACGGACCTGGGCGCCGGGTGCAGCGCCTTCCTCACCCCGGACGACCTGCTGCTGCACGTGCGTGCCTCCCCGCTGCTGCTGAGTCTCTACCCGCTCATTCATTGCTGCCTGCTGCCCTGTATAAGAGTGTGCGTTGCCACTTTATTGGTTTCGGGATCTGCTTTCTTCATTCCTCTGTTCCCGATCACATGTGTGTCTTCTGTCGCACCGACCTCTGCGTCCTTCCTCCAATTCCAATCCCCCCTCTCCACCCCTCCCCCCTCTCCATCCCCTTGCTGCACGGCCACACATGGCACCAGGTGGGGGGGGCGGCATCACGGGAGGCGGTGGTGGGTTTGCCGCACCAGCTGCGGCTCAAGTGCTGGCACCACGTGGCCATCACGCACAGCGCGCCCACCTTCTCCACCCCCAGCACCGTGCACCTCTTCGTCGACGGCCAGCCCGTGGCGTCCTCAAGGGCCAGGTATGTCTGCAGGGGAACCCATGTCGGCATGCAAATGCATGGAAAGGTGCATGCACTATGTCCCCCCAAGTAGTGTTTCCAAGCATGCATGGAAGGTGCATGCGTTACCCTTTGACTCATGCCGCTTGCCCTCTGACCTCTGCTTCTCTCCTTCCCCACTGCCCCCCCCTCCCCTCCCAGTTTCCCCCGCATCTACGACCCGCTCACGCGCTGCACCATAGCAGCGTGGGCGCCACTCCCCCAAGCTGCCCCTCACGCGCGCACCCTGGTGGACGACGACGACGAGGTGACGGCGCTGGGCATGGCGCCGCCGCTGTGCGGGCAGCTGGGTGCGCTGCACGTTCTGGACGACCCGCTCTCGCCCGACCAGGTCGTGGCGCTGCACCGCCTGGGCCCGCGCCACGCGCACGCCTTCCTGCCCTCCGAGCTGTCCCTCCTGCCGGGGTCCGCCGACTCGCCCGTGCGCGCACTGTTTGACGGCAAGGACAGCCTCGCGCCGCGCATCGCCCTCAGCCTCACCGCACACGCCACGGCGGGCGGCCACGTGCTGGACGGCACGCCCTTCTGGGAGCAGCCCGGCAGCACGAGAAAAGTTTGCGATGCGGTAATGCTGCCGGGCGTGCAGGTGTGCCAGCGGCATCGGCTGCAGGACGTGCTGTCGTGCGTGGGAGGGGTGGCTGTGCTCTTCCCCCTGCTCACCCAGCTGGACGATGATGACAGGAATGACGGGGCAGGGGGCGAGGGCGAGGAGGGGGGAGTGTGGGAGGCAGGGGGGACGCACCTGGCAGTGGACGTGGTGTGCCTGCTGACGGAGGTGATGGCAGGCAGCGCCGCCGCACAGCAGTTCATGACGGTGGTGGGGGGCTTCGCCGTCCTCAACTTCCTGCTGCAGCGCGTGCACCCCCGCCACCTCACCGTCAGCCTCGTCCTCTCTATAGAGAGCCTCACCAACAGCATTGCTGCAGAAAGGGGTAAGTGGGGGCTTATAATTTTATTATGGAGATATTGTGCAAAATCCTGTAGCAGTGCGAGCTGAGGCTGCAGTATTCAGGCCAAGATGGGAGCATCACCATGCCCACATCCACACTTGTCCGCTCTCCCACCCC